TCTTGAAGAGCTTTTTCCCTCCCTGGCAATGCTTGAGCGCTATTATTTCAGTGAACTAAAACTGGCATGGCTGCAATGGAATATGCAGCCCATATTAACCAATTTTTCATTTTTTTCCTCCTGCAGTTTCACTAATCACAGGTCTTCTGTGTATTTTTTTTTTTTTTTGTACTTTCATTGTCTATGTTAGAAACAGAAAAAAACACCACTTCCTCATTTTAGCATGATAAATGTATTTATATCATTCAGAAGCAAATCATTTTTCTTATATTTTTGTAAATTTTATGTACAGTTTTGATTTTGGTAATTTTACCTAGATTTTGTAGATAATTTTAAGGTTTGATTTCCACTGATTTAGTGGTGTTCTGTATGCCATTAAACCCTGGGCTTCATTATACAGTGGCCAAAATTGTGGAAAACAAGCTCACTAAATGAAAGAACATAAAAAAACCCAACCAACTTGATAGCGAGCACATAGCACACTGACAAATGTCCTCTCAGCTTCAATACATGACATCAATAACTGAATCCTACTATGATCTGATTGGCTCATTGCCAAAATAAGATGACACCTGATTGGCTCTCTAAACACTCATGCTCATTGGCTACAATCAAATGAAGGAAAGCTACCTGATATCAACCTAAGCAAGTTGTGCTTCCTTTTTCTGGTTATTTGGCTATAACTTTTCATAGAATACAGTACAAATAATTGAACAAACTTCGTTGCATTATATTCTTGATTAAATTATCTTTCCATTGATACATAATTTTATGGTACTACTACAAAAAAAGTGTTATTAGCCATCAAACCTCAAAAATACACTTTTCCCAAAAGGTTTCCACAATTTTGGCCACTAGATGTATTCAGGAATCATTACAGTAAACCCTTGACTGAACAGTTCTCTCTTTAGCAGGCTTACAATGCAAAAGGTATTGCTGACCCATGCACTGTATAACTTTTGTGTCCGTACGTATAGAATCCTATTCACTGTACAGCTTAAAATCAGATTCAGATTTTACACAACACAGAGTGCTGAACAGATGCTCTTCCCTTATTAGTTCATTAAGTCAAAGGTTTACTGTATTTACATTTGTTCTCACAGAAAATCAGTGTTATCACTTATATATTTCAATGTAATAACCCATGCATTTCCAATTGTACATAATTTCCAGTTGTAAAACATATCTGATATTTTCTGGCAAAAAACATAGCAGTGTCTTACACAAGTTTCTGTATTCTGGAACAGTATCCATTTTTTTCTTTTCCTGAACAGTGTGTTGAGCCCCACTGCATTCCTGTTTAGAACCAAAATCACAGCACAGTTTTTATAGTGTCTGTATATTTGTGATGCAGCAGTCTTGTAAAGGTTTTTACTGAAATCTACCATTAGTCAGTCTTTCTTACAGATAATAAATTATTAATAAAATACTCTAGCTTTGTTTACTCTATTTCATTCATTTTTATATAAAATTTATAAATCTATAAGTAGTAAAATGTAAAGTTGCTTCGTACAACCAAGCTCTGATTGTGCAGTCAATCCACTAGGTGGCAGTAGGAGCTTATTCATTTTTTTTTAAAAAAATCAAATACTTGGTTCATGATATAGAGATAGTAGATAACATACTTAAGAATGACATTTTCATATATTGCCTGTTACACTGCAGTGCGTTATCATAGTAAAAATACACAGAATAGAATGGAAGACTCACAAGTTACTTGGTAAATAGTTGTTATATGATACCCTTATTGCTGTTGCCAGAAATTTCAAACATCTTTTAGTTTATTAGTGATACCTTTAGTAAATGAACCTTTCAAGTTTATTGAGTACATAGTGTTTTGTGTCAATATAAAATTGGACCATATTTAGCTATAAACTATATCCTGAACTGCTTGGGCTAACTCTGGGCAGATGTGCTCCAACCTTATGCCAAGTCACAGAGGACTTTATAAAATCAGCATTTCAAATTGTATCAAGCTGATACAGAGCCTGTTAAACAGATAACATGTGCGCCCACCAAGCCAACACTGGTGAGCACTCAGGACACTATATTTTATGCCAACAGACTGTCCCAGGTTTGCTTTGTTGAATGAAGAAAGCACAATGAAATTATCCCTCATATCTTTCAAGCAATCAAGCTTGACAATCTGAAGTGTAACAGTGTATTATATACAATGATATGAAGAAGCTTAACTGCACTTTTCACTTTTCATATTGTAGATTTCCACCCTTGAACTGTCTACATCAGTGGTTCTCAACCTTTTTAATGCCACGACCCCCAACCGGTCATAAGTCAAGGACTACTCAACCGGTCGTAAGTCGAGGACTACTCAACTGGTGTAGCACCCTGTGCAGAATGGGACTTTTGGCAGGCTCATCAGGGCAGAGACAGCCTGGACAATTCCTATTGGCTTTTGAAAGCCAATAGAATTAGACTCTATTCAAGAGAGCCTATTCTATTGGCTTTCAAAAGCCAATAGAATAAAAGGGAGTAGCACAGCTAAGGAAAAGGGGAAAAAAGTGGCAGACTGCATTGTTTGGCGACCCCCATGAAATGGTCGTTCGGCCCCAAATGGGGTCCCGACCCACAGATTAAGAACCACTGGTCTACATAAAGTAAATGTGGAAATCCTCTTTTGCAAGCTGTATCAAAATAAATTTATCAGTGTAACTTCTGGAAAAGAATTTCCCAGTTGATTCTGTTATTTATGTGCACCAAAGAACAAAATAATTATATTTAGTTTTGACTATTACATCTTAAGAGCATTTCAGGGATTGTATGTGAGTGCGGATAGTCTTCAACTTAATGAACATTTGTTTAAGGGCCATTTGAACTTATGACAGTGCTGAAAAAGAGGACTTATGACCAGTCATTTCACTTAACAGCCATTGCTGTGTTCCATAATCAGACGATCACAATTTGTGACCTTTCCAGGGAGCTTCCTGGAAAGCAAAGTAGGTTGGGAAAGCCAGATTCGCTTAACAACTTCATGCTTCACTTAATGATCACAGCAAAAGAGATTGTAGGTCATAAAATCAGGCATGAGTCACTTAAATGACCATAATTGCTTAATGATGGATGTTCTGGCCCCAATTGTCATAGATCAAGGACTACTTGTATATTTTCTATTTAAAAAAAAACCCCGTATGAGAACAAATTTCCAGTGAGATTTAGCATCACTGGGAAAATTTCATGATTAGCCTTGGAGAAATGCTAGTTTCTGTCAGTCAATTTTACTCTTCTGAGAGTAAATGAATCTAGTAAATGGAATCCTATGAAGTCAGTAATTTTGGCAGGTGCTGGGAAATATAACAGAAACATGAATGTTTTCTTGATGTTATAAAGTTTTGTAGTTACATCAACAAATGGCATCCACTAAAATGGCCTTCCAATAATAGGGCATAATACAATTTCCCACTGCGAAGAGCTGCTTTTTACAGTTGGTGAGACACCGGGTGGCGAAAATTGCCTACTTGAACTCTCTACACTAGGGGTGTCAAACTCGCAATGTCATGTGATGTGTTGCAACATATCGCAACTTTTTTGCCATTGCCGGCATAAGGGTGGGTGAGGTTTTGCAATGATGCATCTGGCCCGTAGGCCGGCAGCTTGAGCCCTGCTCTACAACGTTTTTCACCTTCAGTTAGAGCATTCCAATTCCCAGAATTCCCCAATCAGCATTGAAAAGTGGTTAAATGAAAGAACAAAGGAAGAAAAGGAAAGCAGAAAGAAAGGATTAATACTGCACTAAACCTGTTTCCTAGTTTTTCATATTTTTTTTTCTTCTGTGAAAGACATCTATTTTTCCTCTAATTCTCAAAGGAATGCTTTAGAACTTTTTGACAATGTTTTAACTTAAGATAGTGTTCTTACTGTTGCATAACAGTATTTTCTTCTTTACCTGTGGTATATGGGGTTGCACTTAATCCCTGATAAGAAACAGCTCCTACGTAGGAGGAGTTCATTCATAGCCTCTTTGCAATTTAATGAAACTGCAGAAAGCTAAAGAGGCTTCAAATTAGTGAGCAATGACTGCACAAAGCAAGGACAACTACAAAATTAAGAACTTCCTTGGATTTTCCCTAAACAGGCAATTTCTTGTCCAAGCTGAACAAGGATTTTCTTTCAAACACTAAGCCATATTTGGCTCATTGCTACTGAATGCTGCTTCTCCTTGGTCTTTAGATGCTTTGATTAAAGGAGAATCAAAGGGGAGGGAGAGGATTGGGGATGATGTTACCCATCAGCAATGTTTCTGTTGGTGACATTTGCTATATAAAAAAGATACCTGTGTTTAAAGGGGAAGGTAATGAATCATGTCTTGATTAACTAAATACTCATTCATTAAAGTGCATGTAAAACTGGTGTTCTGGAAGGTAAGCAGTGATCGCATAGAAACAAAATACACATGGAGATTTGATCCATCTTCCCAAATGAAATGAGAGAACTACATCTTTTAATGAACCACTTAATTATATTATTATTCAAATACAGCTTTAATGGGTATATACAAAGAGAGTATTAGGCACTGGACATATTTTTAAAATAAATTACTGTAGTTGAAATAATACAGAATGGCCATCAAGATTTCCAGAAACGCAATTGACTGAGGATACATAAGAAGATACATTTTCCTGAATTGTATCGAGGTAAGCAGTTTTATGTTGTTAAGAGCTAGAGTCACATAGCATTATATCCTTCAAACCTAGTACATATGTCAGAACCCCTCAAATGTATTTGTCTTCACTTCACCTCTTTCATTTATTCCTTCCTTGCTTGAGCTTATGTATTCATTTTCAGGGCCTGCCATTCTGCTGGGGGCGGGTGCTTGCATGGAGGGGGAATATTATCTGCTTTGCTTTGCTCTGTATGGGGTGCCCTCCCTCTGGGTGAGAGGAATATAACCTGAAAACATCTGCCTTATCTCCAGACAATGGCACCTGGGACCATTGGGAAACAAAACCGAGAGAGACCTTCAGAAGCCCGCTGAATCTCCAGAT